CTAGGATTGGGGGAAATTTCATAATATAACTTATCAAGTGTAAGTTATTTTGGTACTCCCTATGTAATTTAACAATGGATAATATCAGACCTAGTTTATGAAGAAACTAAAGCTTAGAGGGGTTCATTAACTAAAATATGTAGCTAGTATGTAATTGAACTGGGAATAGAACCCCAAAGCATTTGCTCTTCTCTTTTACTATTCTGCCTCTTAGACAGATTTGGTATATAACCCCTAGCTCCAACTATTGAATGGACAAGGGACTTGATGCTGTTAAGAATTGTGAATGTATCATCTTTCATACATTTGACTCAATTGGGTTATGAAAGATGATATATCATGAGCTTTGTAATGTTTTGAACAACAAATAAAGAAAATGAAAAAAAAGAATTGTGAATGATCTAAAGAGGTAGAAATCAAAGTAAGTTCACATATAAAAATGGCATATTTCTCTTGTCCCTACTTAATGTTATACATAGTCTATAATGGAGACAGTGAGGATCTAATCCCAGGCTTTTTCTATTCTAAAGACAATGGTTTTTCTCTTATTCCTGGAGGTGAAAGATCAAGTTCCCCTTGAATCATCAGTATTCATATTCAGTATTGTGTTTTATAGTTTAAAGGATGGTATCCAATAGGTAGTATACATAATCTCAGAAATAACCAGAATGTTCACTAATTGGAAAGCCATAGAACTATTTTTACTTTGTAACTTACTCATGCAACTTATCTCATGAGGCTTTTTTTGCAGGGAAGGCGGATATTGGGGCTTGAACCTAGGGGTGCTTTGCCACCAAGCTAAAGTCCCTGGCCCTTTTATTTTTTATTTTGAGATAGGCTCTGAGATTGCTGAGATTGGTCTTGAATTTGTTATCCTCCTTGCTGGGATTATAGGCATGCACATACCATGCCTAGCCACATTAAGTTTTTATTTCTTGTAGTACTACTGTCTGTGGCAGTTCCTTTTTCCTTCTTACTAAAGTTACATTGCTTCATTTAATGAGCTGAGTCTTTTATATAAAGTAGTATTATTTTTTGTACTTTGAAACTGTATAATAAAAGCTTGAAGCATCTGACAATTTTTTAGAATACACTGCCCCATCCCTCACTCCTTTTTTTAATACTGGGGATTGGATCCAGGGGTACTTTACACTGAGCTACATCCCAAGCCCTTTTTAAATTTTGAGACAAGATCTCATTTAGTTGCTTAGGGCCTCACTAAATTGCTGAGGTTGGCTTTGAACTTGCAATCCTCCTGCCTCAGCTTCCTGAGTTTCTGAGATTACTAGTGTGTGCCACTGCACTCAGCTCACCAGTTATTTTGAAAATAAGGTACATTGGAAGTGGGGATCCTGGATGGGTATATGTGTATGTACGTGCATAATGTAATAAAATAAATAGATTTAAGACTTGGGAGAACATACTCTAAATTTATATGAAGCAGCAAACAGTATGTTGACTGAGTTATTACTCATAAGTAAATAATAGTAAATAAAAGAAACTTTGTTTTCTTATTTTTGTTATCAGCTTTTGGAAGATATTTGCTTTCTGATGCTGGAATGTATTTCAGAGGTTGACAAATTAYGGTCCATGGACCAAAATCATCCTATTTTTGTATGGCTTGTGAGCTGTGGCTTTACTGTTCTTTGGAGGCGAGGTACTGGGAATTGGACTTGGGGGCACTTAACCACTGAGCCACATACCCAGCCCTATTTTGTATTTTGTTTAGGAATAGTGTCTTACTGAGTTGCTTGTGTTTTGCTTTTACTGAGGCTGGCTTTGAATTTGCAATCCTCCTGTCTCAGCCTCTCAAGCCACTGGGATTATGGGTGTGTGCCACGGTACCTGGCTGGCTTTACTTTTTTTTTTTTTGTAGTTGGACACAATACCTATTTTATATTAATTTACTTTTATGTGGTGCTGAGAATCCAACCCAGGGCCTCACACATGCTAGGYGAGAGCACTCTACTGCTGAGTCACAACCCCAGCCCCTGGCTTTACATTTTTAAAGGTTGCTTTATAGCTGGATGTGGTGGCACGCACCTGTAATTCCAGCAACTCTGGAGGATTGAAAGTTTGAGGCCAGCCCTCAGCAGCTTACAGATACCCTCTCTGAAAATAAAAATTAAAAGGACCCGGGATTTAGCTCATTGATAGAGCACCCTGGTTTTTAGTTCCCAGCACCAAAAAAGAAAAAGAAATAATGGTTGCTTTACAAAGAGGCATGTTTTTATCAACAAAACTTAAATGTCTTCTTTTCTAACCATTTACAGAAAAAAAGTAGTTGGCATACTTTGCTGTATTATAGCTTTTTAAAGTGACCACATAAAGTGAATAATAAAACAATTTAAGTTCTTAAAATCCAAGTATCAGATACTATGTATGTTACAATAGTAGCATGAAGTATTTAGTTAGCATAAGCAAGGGAAAAAAACCTCAAGTTTTATCAAGCAATTCTATTTTATAGTGCTGTAGAACTCTATATAGAATATTTGTAGAAATAACATAGTTAAGACCTAAACACTCCTTTGACTCTTTAAAGTTTTTAAATAATTTGTCAATTGTTTTGTAAGAATATGTAACATACCATGGTTCCATTATATTCCAGATGATGGGGATATCGAGTATAGGGAAAAGAAAACAGGAAGTGGGGGAAAATAACAGTACTCTTTTCTTATTTACCCCTTGTATTTTTCTTTTTCTTTTTGTGGTGCTGGGGGTTAAACCCAGGGCCTTGTGCATTGGAGACAAGCACTCTACCAGCTGAGCTATATCCCCAGCCCCTACCCCTTGTGTTTTGTAACTTGAAGTTTACAAATATACCGGCTATTATAATAAACTCATTAATTAACAACTCCTATGATTTTAATAAGCTAAGTATGAGGAGGAACAGGAAGCAGAGAGAGAGCTCTGCTCACTGGAGATAAAATATAAACCCTAAAGGCTACTTCCCCCTTTTACTTATTTCAACCACATCCTACCTGCCTACAGTTACCGCCCAGTTAATCCGTATCAGTGGATAATGTAGCCCAGAACTCTCATAATGTAATCATTTCACATCTGAAGGTTCTTGCATTGTTTCACACATAAGCTTTTAGGGGACTCATGTCATATCTAATACGATATACTTTCTAGAAGACTACTTCACAAGCACAGGAAATTTTGACGGTCTTGCCTAGTGTTGTACTTCCAGTTCTTGATATGGTACCTGACAGATAGTGAGCCCTTAATACATATTTGTTGAGTGAAAAATGTTTCAGGGATTTTTGTAACAGTACTATTTGATATATATATATATATTTAAAATTCAGGCTGGTACTTAGCTCAGTGGTAGAACATTGCCTAGTGTGCAGGAAGTCCTGGTTTCTATACCCAAGAATGCAAAAAAATTTTTTTAAAGAATATACTCTTAATGTTCATTAATAAGGAGTTGATTTATGTCTCGAGTAATCATACCATGGAGTAGAAAAACCTAGGGTTTTTCCATGTGTACTGATATTGACATAATACTTGGTTCCATGGAAAACGCAAGTAGAAAAATAGTGCATATGTGATGCCAGTTTCAATATTTTGATTTAAAAAATACCCATACATAGCAGATCTTAAACTTTTGGACTTTCCATAATTACTGAAGTCTTAAGTGGCTATTTATGTGTGTGTGTGTGTTTACATTTACATTTGTGGATAAATGTTTACAAATATATATTTTATACATTTATTATAATATGTTAGATATATATATACATATAGTTATGTTAGAATTAAAAATGAAATCATTTTATTCACTTAGAATAAAAATAATGATCCTGTTAAATGTTGACATAATTTTGTGAGACATAATTTTATGAAAAATAATTCTATTTTCAAAAATTTAGTTTAATGAGAATAGTGGTATTGTTTTACATTTTGCAAATCTTTTTAATGTCTAGCTTAATAAAAGGCAGCTGGATTCTCTTCTGCTTTTGCATTCAGTCTGTTGTGTTGCTATTTTGTTGAAGTATATCAAGAAAATCCAGCCTTAATCAGTATGGAGTTAAAACAGGGAAAAATGTGTCTTTTCAGATAATTATAAATATTCTTTGGTAGTATAGCAAACCTCACAAGTAGTTTCTTAAAGGTGATTTTAATTTGGAGTCTCAAGCATATTAGTGAACATTTTGTACTGTGCCCAATAAAATCTTTTGAAGTGCTTTGTACTTTAAAAAAWATACATTTATTTATTTAGTTGTAGGTGGGCACGATACCTTTATTGTATTTTTATGTGGTACTGAGGATTGACCCCAATGCCTCACATGTGCTAGTCAAACACTACCACTGATCTACAACCTCAGCTTGTGCTTTGTACTTTGAATAAATCTTTTATCCATGTATGATTATATAATTTCAAGCACTGGTTATTTGAAAAATATAGGTATACTGAGTTGTTAGGACTTCCAGTTGTTGTCACATTTCATTATACCATATCAAAAAGTCACATTTTTAATATCACACCAATCATCTTGGAAAGGTCACAAGTACTCTATAAAACCTGTTAAGGACACAGTGATCCATGCAAGTTTTTCTCAATTCTTTTCTCTTGGAAGCTTGAGTCCATTGTTTACACAGGTTTTTTGAGTTCATATGCTTAATGCATTCAGTTGTAAAAATAAAATAGCCACATCTGAACTGTTTGCTGTTTATTCATATGAAAATGGCGTTTCATTAAAAATTAAGTCATTCTGATCACAATGACACTTAAAAACAAAACTATGAAAAGAACTCCCAAGTCTATAAATATAAAAGGAGAAAATATAGCAAAATATTAACAAGTTATATTGAATTAATGGGAAAATCATGATTTCTTTGTTTTTTTAAATTTTCTTTAATGAATAATACATTTTTGTTATATTTGTTATATAGTTAAAAATGTTACATGGAGTGTTATTTATAAGACAGCTTATAGTCAGAGTCAAATGAATGTGGATTATTAAAAATAGCTATTTTCTCTTTTTTCTTGTTAGGATTTAGGTCCTGAATATGAAGATATATTTAACACCTCATTGCAGTGGATTTTAGAAAATGGGAAAGATGTTGGAATAAGGTAGAGGAGTTGATTTCCACTTTGTTTTATAGTATAAGAAGTGATTTTTTTTTTTTAACCTTAAACTCAACTCTAATTATTTTTAAATAGGTGTGTTGGTTATAGCCCTGAGGAAGAACTGAAAAACATAACTGATGTGCAGTTTTTACAATCTACAAGACCACAGATGTCTTTCTGGTGTCGTTTTCGACGTGCTTTTATTACTGTAACACACAGGTTATTGTTGTTATGCTTGGGTAAGTTGTTAGGATAAGAAGAGTGATATATTGCAGTTTAGAATTTTTGTGTGTGTCTGTATTTCACTAAATGCCAGAGCCAAGAATTTACTTGTCACTTTGGTGATAGATGTCATATAAATCACATCCAGAAGTGTTCACTAAATGAAGTTGAGGGCTTTTTATAATGTCATATCAGACTGAGGGCTCAGAAAACAGTAACAGAGAGAGGTAGGGATAAAACTTTTTCATAAGAATGTTTCAAAAATAGTAAGTGTATTTACTTTAGAAAATAGAAAATTTTTCTTTTTAAATAAAATATTGTAAATTAAGCTCATTGAAATTATTCTTCATTTAAACAGTATTGTTTATGAGATTTAAAATTTATATTCAGGTTATTATATTTTGTGATTGGTAATAGGAATTTAAGAGATTTTATTCCTTGCCTTTTCTTTTTCTTAGCCCTTTACAAATAATTCAGTTAAAGTAAGATTTAGCATGTTTAATGCTTTAATAAAACTGTTCAAGTACTTTAATGCTATAATTGGAAAATGTTTAAAAAGTTGCATTTTTTTTTAAAGATAGAATTTAAATGTTTAGTTATCAGTGTAATAGAAGACATTTTCTAGAGAAAACTCTGGAAAATGTTTAATATTAAATTTTTTTTTGTGCACTTTTATTATGTGCCCAATTCAATCCTCTGTCATAAAGGCTCTTTGCATTTTTTCATTAGTACAATTAAGATAATCATTGTAGAGACTATCTAATATAATTAAATGCCATTGACCACAATTGTTAAACTGAAAAACATGTAAATATTGCAGGTGTAGTGATGGTTTGTGTTGTTCTRCGTTACATGAAATATCGCTGGACAAAAGAGGAGGAGGAATCAAGGCAGATGTATGATATGGTGGTAAAGATAATAGGTACAGTATTTGTAAAACCCCTAACTATTTCTAGAACAATTATATGATAATATAACAATGTCAAGTGATTGATTCATTTTTGAAGTTTGATTTTTTTCAGATGTTTTGCGAAGTCATAATGAAGCTTGCCAGGAGAATAAGGATTTACAACCTTACATGCCTATTCCTCATGTGCGAGATTCCTTAATACAGCCTCATGATAGGTGTGTTCAAAGCATTTTGAGTTGAAGTAAATCAGAATATAGGTATCTTCTGTAGTCTTGGAAATTATATTGAGAATTGTGGCTCTTTCTTATCTAGACCTATTTTACTATGCACACTTTTTACAAATATTTTATACTCTTCTTTCTTTCTAAATTCTTTTGTCATCCCCCTGATTTTCAGTCACACGTAAGATGACTAGATTTCTAAACTTTTGTCATTCCTGTACATTTTTGATTCTTTGTTGTCACTTTCCATCTTATCTCCTTTCATTTCATTTTATTTAAGAAACAGAAATATGTACAAACCATAGTTAATCTCACCATTGTGTACATCCATAAGAAATTAATTTAAAAAATAGCTATGGGTAAATGGCAGAAAGATCAATTGAGGGAAGGGAACGGGGAGGGGAGGGAAGAGTAAGGAGAGGTACTGGGGTCTGAATTACAACAAGATATATTTCATGCTTTTATAATTATGTCAAAATGGATTCTACTGTCATGTATAACTAAAAACCAATAAGGAGTAAATTTGTAGGAAAAAAAAGCCCAGAAATAATCTCTGGTGCTTTACTAATATTTTAAAATACCTATTTTATTATTAATTTAGTTTTTAAAATAAAAACTAAAAAAAATGACTTTTGAAAATAAAAAGGTGATGCTATATATAAAGCATCATTCGTAACCTAGTAGCACATTATAATCACCAGTGGAGGTTTTAGATTAAAAAAGAAGAAGAAAAAAAACTACATGCTCATTTATCACCTCTTTGGACTGAAATTCAGTAAATCTGAAGTGGGGTACAGGCACCTACTATCTGCTTTTAAACGAACTCTGAGTAGTGATAAGAACAGCCAGACTTCATAATAGCCATACTTCAATTACTAATATTTCAAAAAGATGACAAGCCAAGATAAATTTGTAAATTTGTCATTTCGTTCATGTAATAGAAAAAAAATGAAGAAAGTCTGGGATAGAGCCGTTGACTTCCTTGCTGCTAATGAGTCTAGAGTTCGCACGGAAACACGAAGAATAGGTGGTGCAGATTTTCTAGTTTGGCGGTGGATCCAGCCTTCTGCATCCTGTGATAAAATATTAGTGATACCTTCTAAAGTATGGCAAGGTCAAGGTATGTACTTTAAACAAAAAAGTATAAAATTGATTTTCTTACAATTTTTCAAAACTACAATATGTGTTTAAGTTGAAACCATACAATTCAAAGATGCATGAAAACTTGTTATGTATCCTTACACATTTTTTTGCTTGCTAATGCAAACACAAATGATTTGTTTTACTGTAATAAAGGCAAACATTTCTTTGATCTTGCTCTTTTCACTTAACAAGCAATATAGTATCATAGATCTAGTTGCCTTCTTTTCATCTAATTTCTCTATGTAAATAAGACACATAATTTATAAGTATGACATAAACATACATACCTTACATATTTTATGTATATAAGTGGAAACATAACCTTTTAAACTATTCTTTCTTCTAGTTTTTGCTTGTCTCCCTCTTCTTTCTTGTTAATACATCTCTACTTGTATATTCCCCCTGCCACCTATTTTTTTGTAGATATCTTTTCATAGTTTTCGTATTGTCTGCTTAGTTTCAAAAACAGTCACATAAGCATACAGGAGGTTTTTTTTTGTTTAAGACTGGCTGCCTTATATACCCAAACCTCTTGCATACAGTAAAGCAGAAAATTATATATAAGAAAATTGTGAATGCCAAATTCACAATTGTAAATTCTTTTTTCTACAAAAGCATATTTATCAATGTTTGATAAACAGTATTCTTAGAAAAGGTAAGTACCCTGTTTTGAAACTACAGGAAGAAAACCCAGTCCCCCCTTTTTTTCTAATTTTCACTTTCAAAATACTTGAATAAAAGCTTCTTTAATCATGGTATGAAAGTGATGCTTTGGTGTTACCCAAAATTAAAATAACAAACTGTTCCTTTTTAAAAGATTCATGCAGAAGGGCCCTAAGTAATTGAAAACAAAGAATTACTTACTTTACCCAGTCTCTTACCAGTGTTTGACAATTGAGCACTCCTTGAAACTTTTATCTTTGAACTTAGGAGATGCCATCCCCCACCTCCCCTTAGTTTTTCCTCTTATCAGACCTCTTCTGCAACCCCCCCCCCCCAATCTTTCTCATTTCCTACACTTTTAGACATTGGAGTTTTTAAAGACCATCTTCTCATTCTATCTTAACTTTTTTTTTTTTTTTGGTAGTGCTGAGAATTGAATCCCCCAGGGTCTTGTACATTCGAGGCAAGCACTCTACCAGCTGAGCTATATCCCCAGTCCTCTATCTTCACTCCTTAAATAATCTCAGCTGTGACTAAGTCTGCTGTTCTGGTTTTCAGATTGTATTGAGGTTTATACTAATCTTATTTTTTAGGATATGGGAACCACAAATTGAACGTGAATATTGAACTGAATATTTTTAGTCTAGTTATTAGTAACATTCCTCATGTTTTCAGCTATAAACCTGGGACTCATTCTTAATCTCCCCCTAACCCGTTTTGTTCAGTCTTTTAACTAGCAAGTCATATCTGTTCCCTAATATATCCTGATTCCATCTATTTTCCATCTGCACTGTTCGCCTGTCTTACCCACATCACTGTCATCTCCTTCCTAGCAACAATGGCCTTCTTAACCGGTCTCCTAGTATTCGTTTTTGTATTTGCCTGATTGATTCCTCATATAACAAACTATTTTTTTAAATTACAATTTTAAAGGATTGATGCTGTCCTATTGTTCCACTGCTTAAGACACTTGAATGGCTATTATTTCTGTGTCAATGTTGAAGTACTTGAGTGTGGCCTAGGTGTTCCTGAATAATCTGACATCTACCTCTCCAAGTTTATCTTTTAAATTTTTCCACTTTGCCACATTAACTGCCTTTGGTTATTTGAATATATCAGGCTCCTTGTCACAAAGCCTGTGTAAAAGCTATCTTTTCTTCTTGAGATGTCCTTACACTTATCTTTACCCTGTTAATTTTTATTTATTCTTTAGTGCTCAACATGAATTTCAATTCCTTGGGGAAATCTTATCTGATATTCCCAAATGAGGTGAAGTTATTTATTTATTTATTTATTTTTTACAGCTTTTTGTACTCTATTGTCTTAGGATGTATCACAGTTATGTCTTGGATGACACTGTTTATCATCTATGTTTCCCACTGCACTGTAAACTCTGTGACAGCAAGGACTCTGTTAATTCACTGTAACATCTAACATGGGTCTGGTTCATAGTATAACTATGTAATGAATATTTTTGAATTAAACGATGAAAATGTTCAACAAAATGAAACAATGGCCAATAGTAAAACAAATTTATTTTTTATAGCATTTCATTTAGATAGAAGAAATTCACCGCCAAATAGTTTGACACCGTGTTTAAAGATTCGAAATATGTTTGATCCAGTTATGTAAGTATTACGATTACATGTAATTTTAATGGCAATGTTTGGCAATATAATTTATTTTTTTTTTTTTTTTTTTTTTTTTTTTGGTGTCAAATCATTTTATTGAGAAGGTTGGAGATTAAGGATTAAATCCAACGTCCTCCGCAAGGCCAGACCTCGTCTTGCCACCGCCGAAAGTTGCATGGCATTCTTATAATGCTGTGTCTATAATTGAAAAATCTGTTTCCTTCTGAATTCCTAACTATAGAAATTTTAATGCTTTTCTCTTTTGTTAAATTCCCAGCAAAGGATTAACCAGGAAATAGTTGTATAGAGATTTGTAAAACATTTCTAAATCTTTGTATTATTTTGAAGCCTTGACACACAACAACAAACAACATCCTTTATTAAATGTACAATTCATTTTATAGACGACTGACAACATTTTTTGTTTCAGTAGGTTTATGTGTGTGTGTGTGTGTGTGTGTGTGTGTGTTTAGTTTATATCTATACACTTACACATACATATATGAGCCTCTTTAATAAAATTTCCAGTGTCCAATTATAAAAATATTTCCTACAAAGTTGTATATACCTTCCTTTCTTTAGGGCCTACATTTCCTTGCAATGTAATATTTGAAGAACTTTTTTTACTACAATTATAGCAATAAACACATCCAGAGAATAGCAGAGTCAAAAGTTGCTGCCTTAGAATTTATAATATTTTACATATTAAGCCACAAGAATTTTTAGAATTAGCTTTCTGGAGGTTAGTTGTTCAACAGTTTGRCAGATTAAATTGTTTTTAAAATTCTAATGGTAGAATCTGCATTACAATTAAAATACTCCAGATCCAATCTAATAATTCATTTATTTAAAAAATTATTGATGAGATTTCAAATAGATGACAGCAAAATGGAAATGTTGGAAAGTACTGTCAGTCTATACATGAATGTATGTATATGCATCCTCTGTTTTGCATATATATAAACAGTAGCAGTGTGGTAATACCTCTGTAGGAACTCTGACCTCATGCCTTAGTAATGAGGAGGTCAATGCCAGCCCTGTACTTCATTACCTAAAATGAAGATTTATGATTTAAAGTGAGGTTACTTTTCTTCTGTCTCACAAGTAAGACAAAAGTGCATTACTATAGCAAGAGATCTTAAAGTTCTCATTATAATAAGGTAGCTATGTAAAATGTTTGTCCTGTATCACTCTTCCATTATTTTGGAAAAGAGAAGCTCAATATAGTATTTACTAAGACTTTTCTTAAATTCAAGAAGTCAAAAATGTCATTAAAAATAAAGAAAATGATATTCAACTTTTGCACTTTTAATGAGTTAACATTAGAAAGAAAAAAGAAACAACTTGCAAGTGCATGGGATTTTAAATATAAAAATGACTCATATGTACTGTTGTGATTGAAATAATGAGATTTTCAGTTGAGTAGGAATATAGTTGTTAATTTTTGGTTTTACTAATTTTTAGGGAAATAGGGGATCAGTGGCATCTGGCAATTCAAGAAGCAATTTTAGAAAAATGCAGTGACAATGATGGCATTGTTCACATTGCAGTAGACAAAAATTCACGTGAGGTAACGTAGCTTCAAGTATTGAATTTCATGTTTTGGATTTGTTGCTGTTTAACTAAAACATTTCTTTCTTTTTTTGTTTTTTAATATCATAGGGTTGTGTATATGTTAAATGTCTGTCTCCAGAATATGCTGGAAAGGCTTTTAAGGCATTACATGGCTCTTGGTTTGATGGTAAGAAATTCGTGTATTACAAAAATTTTGAAAAGATGATTAAACTATACGAGATTTTAAATTGAAGTATTTTAGGTTACCATTTTTTAAGTAATAATTTTAAATTATTTTGTGTTTTGTGTTCATATGACTTTACCACAGTTAACTTTTCTAACAATATTAAAGACATTTTTACAGATCTAAAATATTATTTTTATCTTGCAACAGGGAAGTTGGTTACAGTAAAATATTTACGACTAGATAGATATCACCATCGCTTTCCCCAAGCTCTTACTTGCAACACTCCCTTGAAGCCATCAAATAAACATATGAACTCTATGTCTCATCTTCGCCTTCGGACTGGCATAGCCAATTCTCAAGGAGGTTCCTGAAAGGACTTTCTTCACTCCTAGGACTGTTATTTACAATAGGAAAATTCCTGTTTGGCTTCCTGTCTTCCTTTTTAAATGCTTTTTTATGTAATATTTTTATTGCTGAGTACAGCTCTGTTTGAAAGTTCCAGAAATCTTAAGGTTCCAAAGGGATTTAGCAGTGAGGCAGCAATGCTGAGTATGTAGAATAATTGTTTCATTCAGTTTTAGGAGCTCAGTTAAGCCAGTGCATTTAAAGTTTTGCATGAGGAACTTTATTAAGCATTTTCAGATATGGTGGTTATATTTTTGCACCAAGAAGTGTTTGGATAACCACACAAAAGCATGGTGAAGAGGCTTCTTGTATTTCCATAATTTCTTGTGAACTAATGTGAATTTTTGTATACAGTCACCTGCATAATTCCTTACAAGCTAATGTGGTAAAACTGTTAATTTCCCAATTTAACCTTAGGTTTCTATTGCTTGTAAGAGATTTATTTGCTACAGCTGGAATATGGGAAAATTTATTTGGTTTTAATGGTTACATATATGTGTAAGTGGATGTACATGTACTTAAACTGGCTTTTGTAAATATGTATAAATACTGGTGGTGGTGGTGGTGAAAGTAGTCTTGTTTTGTGAGGATGTCTGCATAAGCAGTAAAATAAGCTTTCTATTTTATTCGTAATCTAATTTGTGTGTGTGTGTGTGTGTGTGTGTGTATGTATACACACACACATATATACATATGGCTGTACTATCACATAGATCAAACAGCCAAACACCTGGAAGTATTAGATACAAGTTTAAAATATCTTTTATAGATTTTATATAAAAATGTCTGAGTATGATTTTGTGTGAAAGTTCTGACACCAGTTGTAATGGATTCAAATTTATGTGAGCAATAAAGAAGCAATTGGCAGATATTAGAAAAATATTTTGTGAAAAGCTGTATTTATTGTTAATTAATAGGGCTGTGACATAGTACTATTGGGATTAAGTATTTTTCCCAATCTATTTATAATTTAATGAAATGATAGCACCCTGTTATATGTCAAGTTTAAAGCAGGGCACATGGTTGCAGCAAAATGTATTAGACAAACTATACTTGGAATTTTGGGTCATGAAAGATTGCAATATAGTAAATGCAAGAGTGGCCATTGGTTTGTGCCTCAGTATTTAATTTGTTTTAATAAAGTTGCTTTATTACTGTTATGATTTCAGATTAAAATAGTTGCTAAGCAAGGTTTATTTGTAATGTAACAATTGGCTTTTTAAAAATAATCTGTTGATATATCATTGTCAGTCCAGATGAATATGTGAAACAGCTGGAATTGTACCAATTTTGATTTTGTTTAAAGTTCAATTTTCTTTTTGTTTTATTATGTATGTGTTGGGTTTGCAGCATGAACTTGCACAGATAATGCACGTTTTCTGGTTAAGTAAACATGATGCACACTATTCTGTAACAGAAAATCCTATTGTGCCTTACCTATGTGCTTTTGTGGGCACCATGTTTATGAAGAATAAAAAATTAATTTGTTATTTGAAGAGAATAAGTTTTAAATTCTCAGTTTATGTCTCAGATGCTAATGTGTGAAATATAAATATATATAATATATAAATTAACCAATCTTTCTGTATTTTATGTGCATCATAGTGATTTATCTGAGCTTAGTGACCCCATCTTGTAACCTGTTGCAAGAGTGAATGTAAAAAACAAAAAACAGTTGTGGTATTCTAACAGGTCGCCTTTTGATGCAGATGCATCTTTTTCTTGCTTCTAAAACATATTTCATGTAAACATTGTACATTTATTATTGTAATATATGCTATTATGCAGCTTATTTTACCTGAAACTGTTAAGCCGACCAAGATTCCTCCCTGCAAGACAGATGGGAATGTGTATAATAATTAGATATTTGAGAAGTTCTGTAGTTTGATGTAATCTGTTACTTGTCCTGTTTAAAAAAAAAAAAAGAGACAGAACACATCCTAATTAAAAATTTATTAGGTTTTTTTTTAATGTGTCTTCACTTTTAAAAAAGTTTTTTAAGTGCCTCGCGTCTTTATTTTTACCAGTGAAAACATATGCCTTTATTTTAAATCTATTTTACTTGGGAATCTGCATTCATGATGAAGACTCTAAAGTTATTAGTTTTAACCATGCATTCTTCAGGATCTTGCTTTTCTTCATAAAAGTGTCTTTACGCACCTTGGATCAAAGTGGGCAAGAGTATAAATTGTATCATTAAGCGTTATCTAATTGTTAGACACTTTTTCAAAGAACAACTCTCTCACAAAAGGAAAAAGTTCTTTTCTACATACATTCTGGGTCAAACTCTATCTTGTCATAAATCGATAACAAACAGTTCTTGGGCAAGCTTCTTTGAGTAGCAAGAAGCCTAGATTTATTAGTCACATGGTAGACTTAGGATTGCTAATAAGTGTTGGTACTGTTTCTGTTAGAGGAACATGGATGAAAACATACAGCTCAATCCTTAAGCTGGTCAGTCAAGAGGATGAACACAGGTCAGATTAAAAAATATATGGAAAATAACAGTAAAAAAGAACTAGGCTGGGGGCATTCTGGGAGCAGAGAAATATCATATGCATCTTAATAGAAAGAATATCAGAATAGATAAGAAAATAGCTAAGCTGTATTTTAATTCAGTATGCCTATTAAGCACCTCTTAAGAATAGATACAATGATAAGTCTCTTTTCCCTTGATCCCTCAGAGGAGAGCTTGTAGGGATGAGATCTTGAAATCTAATGTGTGGAACCTGTGTCATAATAAAATTCATATGCATACTCATTGGTATGTAGATTCCTGAATGTTTTATGAATATTGAAGCCTGATATTGGACCTTACATTTTTCTTGTCTTATATTCACAGTTTGAATTACAAGTTGTGATTTGTAAGAAAACAGTGTTTTGTTTYGTCCTGTGCCCAGAATATCTCCTTTAGTAAAATTGACCTTGCAATTTTCACTCCTTGCTCTTGGTGACATCAAATTACTTTAGGTCAACTACATGGCTTCTTCACCCTTTTTTCCTAGACCTATCTTGGCAAKTCACTTCTTCCAGATGGCTGATCAAAGGATGCTAACTAAATCAAGCAGAATTTTGCCAGCCCTTCTTTTGGGAAGGATGCTCAAGAACAGGTACTTAACTGAGAATAATTAGGAACCAGAAGTTATGGTTTAAAGAAACAATGTGCAGTATGCTCATTCTTAGCCTGTAAGCCCAAGGAGATTTTATGGGTAGATTGAGTTTCTATTCCTAAGAACCTCTGGTGTAGATAGTAATATAGACCCATTTTGTTGATTCTTAGTTTTTTAAACCAGTAGAACCTGTGTACTTAAGTTTACTTTTTCTGCTATGAGTAGGCATAATACATGAACTATGATGTGTGAAACAATTTACTGCCTGTATAAACCACAAGTGGTTTCTTATGGCCAAATCACTTAAGTCCAAGGCAATAAATATTAATGGGAAAGGTAGGCCATGAGCATGTCATGGAAATTTTTGTAGGTCACATTTGAAGTTCAGTGTTACCTGGTTCAAAGACTTCTGGTAACAAACTAATAATTAGGGTTTGTTGGAATGAATACTACATAAAGGATTTGAAAAATACTTAAGAAGCAAATGGGAAAGATGATTATTAGTGGATATTGAGGGGGAAATTGATAACAAGTTTTCTAAAGTGGGAAATCTAAATTCCCAACATTTAAAGAATAGAAGAGAAAGAATATATTGGATAGGAAAGATGATAAACTGGGTTTTTGGATATTTTGAGTTTGAGATACCTATAGAACATTCAGACATATTGCAGTTTTCTAGATCTACCTAACATCTCATTTGTCTACAACTCAGGAAAAATTGCTAATAAGTATTAAAGAGTCAGATAATGACAGAACATTAACAACAATTATGTTTTTTTTTGTGCTGAAAAGATTAGCTTGCTATTCCTCTTATAATGTTCTATAATAGAAAACCAAATTAGAAATATTTGATCTATATTTAGATTTTATAAAACCCATAGTTGAAACAGTTCCCAATGTACTTGAAATAGTTCTAAAAATATAAAGTAATTCAAATTAGATTAAAACTGGTTATTCAGGTGTACTGGCCCAAGTTTAAGTACTCAAGAGTCACATGCAGTTGGTGGCTGCCATGTTGACAGTATAGGTCTTGACCCACCTATACCTTTCTAGCCGACTCTCAGTCCTTACCCAGCTACCTGTACTCCAGCTTGAGTGCTTATCTTTTTCATGCATATCTTTACTAATATTTCTCCTATATTACCTCCTTCACTTAACTTTCTCCAGATATCTAGAACATATGCCTCCCACATTAGGACCTTCATACTTTATCTCTGTATGATACTGTTTCTTTGGGTTTACATCTGCATGATCTGCTGTCCTTATTCGGGTTTCAGCTCATATGTATTTACAGAGTACTTCTCTGACTACTTCTCTTTTAAATTACTGTTTTATTTTCTTAATGTAGTTTGTTATTATCTGCAAGTTTCTTAGTGTTTGTATTTATTATTTGTACCCTTTGATGCAATATAAGAGTAGAGGGTCTTATTTGTATTAGTTATTTTATTTTTAGGGCTCAGAATAGAGCCTCCCTTAAGTTGTCACCATATATTTATTGAATTAACCCATAAGACACACATTTTTAAAATGTTTTTCTGGATCTAAAATAAGTTTGTGTTTTGATTTTAGGGAGTTCAGTATAACTTCCAAAAATCTGATTCCTTATGTATTGCTGCAGCAGAATCCCACAATTTTTGGTATGTTGTATTTTCATTTGCATTCAGTTCAAAATATTTTATAGTTTCCCTTCTGGTTTCTTCTTTGTTCCATGGGTTATTGAGGAGTGTATTATTTAGTTTCCAAATTCTTTGAAGATTTCCAGATGAAGTTTTTGGTTATGGCTTTTAATTTTATTCCATTATACACCAGTGTATTATTTGAATCTTTTTAAAGTTGAGACTTATATTATGGTCTATAACATGATCTTTCTTGGTAAAATTTCTGTGAGTACTTAGGAAAAAAAGGAGATGAGGGTGGGTATTATCTGCTGTTAATTGGTGGACTGTTCATGACTTGAATAGACATAATTATTTGATAATGTTGTTCAGGTTTTCTTTATCATTACCAATTTTCTGTGTACTTGTTAATTATTGAGAAGAGTATTCAAATCTCTAATTGAGGATTTATCTATTTTTTGCTTCATGTATTTTGAAGCTGTGTTGTTTGGTGGACATTTTGGATTATTATATTACCTTGATGTTTTTACCCCTTTATCATTATAGAAATGGTCTTTATCTCTGATAATATGTTTTGGTCCAAAATCTACTTTATCTGATATTGATATAGCCACTCCAGCTTTCTCTTTGTGTGCATGTGTTTTCCCCAAATTTCTGTTTTTATTGTTTGTTATTATTTACTTAAATTTGGGGTTTAAGAATGTGGAACGCTTCATGAATTTGCATGTCATTCTTGCGCAGGGGCCATGCTAATCTTCTCTGTATCATTCCAGTTTTAATATGGAATGCTGCTGAAATGAGCATTCCGGCTTTCTTTTGATTAGTGGTAGGATGATATGTCTTTTTTGCCCATCCCTTTATTTTTAACCTGTTGTGTCTTTATACTTAAAGTATGCTTTTAATAAGAGTATTTAGCTAGATTTTTGTTTATTTTTGCAATCTGAATCTTTCAATCTTTGTTTTTAAGTGGGTATGTATTCCATTCACATATGATTATTGATTTGGTTAGGTTTCAGTCTACCATCTTGTTATTTGTTTTCCCTTTATTCTGTCTGTTCTTTGTTCTTCTTTTCCTGTCTTTTTTTGGATTGAGTATCTGTGGTTCCATTTTTATCTCCTTTCTGCTTCTTTTTTATACCTTTTTAATGTTATTTTTATAAGGTATATCATAAACCTTAATGGTATCATTATCATTATACTTAGCACCGTCTGCCTTCAAGTCATATTTTACAACTTTATGTATAGCAACTTTCTTTTTGTTTTGTTTTGGTACTGGGGATTGAACCCAGGGGAGCTTAACCACTAAGCCACATCCCCAGCCCTTTTTGAATATTTTATTTAGAGTTAGGGTCTCGCTGCTAAATTGCTTAGGACCTCATGAAGTTGCTGAGACTGGCTTTGAACTTGCAATCCTCCTGCCTCCACCTCAGCCTCCCGATTTGCTGGGATTACAGGCATTCATCACTGTGCCCGGCTATGACCCATTTTTTTTTTTTGTTTGAACAATTTTAAAGATATTTAATAAGAAAAAAAATCTTATATTTACCCATACAGTGAACGGTTTCAGTACTTTTCATTCCCATGTAGATTCATATTTTACCTTGTAAGAATTTTCCTTATGCCTACAGGGTTTAACTTTTTTTTTGTAGAAAGGATGTGATAAGAGATGAATTCTTTCATCTGCTGCTAACAGGCACTACTCTTAAATATTCACTCCCTTTTTTAATAGAGCATATTAATTCTATAGAATAGTGGATTTTGTTGTGGCATATTCATATGTGCACTTAACATTTTTATCATTTTTATTTGCCTGTAATCTCCTCAGATCCTCTTCCCACTCCCTTTGCTATTCACTAATAGTCTCTCACATACATTTATATCTGTCTTTTTTCCCTAGATTTCACATATGAGAAAACATATGTGAACCTTTTCTGACACCTTCTAGTGCAATTTTAACTTCATTGTATTTCTAGGCTTCAGAATTTTTTTTTAGACATATGTATAAATTTGTTCTCCTTATTGTTTTCCTGATTTCATTGAATTGTTTCTGTATATTTTCTTGAAGCTCACAGAGCTGCCTTAAAATGATTATTTTGAGTCCTTTGTTAGTCAGTTTCTTTAGGGTCAGTTACTGCTTTATTTCTCTGGTGGTGTCATGTTTCCCTAATTGTTTGTGACCTTAATTGCTATGCATTGGTATCTGTTCACTTGAGAGAGCCGGGTCTTACTTTAGTCTTTTGATTAGTTCTGTCTTGGAAAGCCCTTCAGCAGGCAGCCCATCCATAGATTTTGGGCAGACTACATRGCATATTCTGAGGGTGGCTTGCTGCTGGAATCATCAGGATAATTGGCTTTTTTCGTGGGTTCTTGGACAGTGATTTGAATTCTGGGTTTAAAAGAGCATACCTGATATTTGGATGGGCCTTGAAGCTGAGTTTGAAAGGCCAGCCAGATACTTGGATAGGCTTGGTGCCTGGGTCCACTGGTGTGGGTCTGGAAAATGAAAATGACAATGACATGGCACTGGGGCAGGCATGGAGTCTGGGTCCACAGGGGGTCATACTTGAGCTTGAGACTATGGATGATGACTTGATTCTCTAGATAGAGGGATTGGTCTGGAGCTTGGCCTGGAGGCTGGATATCAAAGTGCTGGTCTGGAGTCTGTCTTCAAGGACGGCTTATGTCTTGGAGCCAGGACAGGCTTGGAATCTGGATTCACATGGATTGTGCTGGAGGCTTGGTCTCTGGAGACTCTTCTAGAACTCGATTTACTGATATGAACCTGGACCATGTTTCTGCTGGAGCATGCGGATAGGATCAGCCTGATTACTAAGACTGCATCGGCTACCCTGGTCTGAGGTATATTTTGAGCCTCAGTCTGTGGGGACTGAATTTCTGCTGGGACAGGTGAAGGTCCCTCCTCATACTCAGCAGTGTATTCAGCATCATACTGAATTGTGAAAAGTTGGAAGCTTTYCCCCCAAGATCAGTAACAAGGATGTTCACTCTCACCACTTCTATTGAACATTATGTAAGAGGTCCTAGCAGAATAATTGGGCAAGAAAATGGTAGGTATTTAAATTTGAAAGAAAGAAATTAAACTGTCTGTTTGCAGATGACATGATCTTCTATATAGAGAAAATAAAATAAAAATATTTAAACTAATGAACAAATTCAGTTAAGTTTCAGAATACAAAAATAAACATGAAAAATTAATGGCACTTTTATGCACTAATAACCATTTAAAAAAATTAAAACACTTTCATTTACAAGAACTACGAACACACACACAAACAAAAATACTTAGGAATTGGTTAYTGAGCRGGAATAGAAGGTACTATGAAGCAGAGAATATATAAGGAGGCTCTGTGAAGAGCATTTTCTTAAGAATATTTTTATGTTCTAATGATTCAACATCATAACTGAGATTATACGGTTAGTAAATACTTGAATTATGTGGACATTCTTGTAAGAATTCAGTATGTGATAAAAGTAGCTAATAAAATTGGTGGGAGGGCCTGGAGATATAGCCCATTGTTAGATCTCCTTCCTCTCATATGTGAGGCACTAGGTTCCATTAAATTAAAATAAATTGATTGATTATTTAAATTGGACAAGTGAATCTTTCAATGAAAGTTGAGACATTTTCAAAGAGATTAGAGACCTAACGTTACTAGGACCTATAATCCTTGTAACTGTGTCTCCTTAGAAGAGGCCCAACTACAAGTTGGCTTGTAGTAATTTCAAAGATGTTAATGACTTGAGTTTTCCACAGTATATGGGAGTCACTCAGCCGAYGAAGGGTTTCATGCAGGAAGATTTCATATATTTTGATAACAAACAATTACAGTCCTTATATTCAGTATCCTCTCCTTAGAACAAAAGGGCAGAAGGATGTTTTCCTGATTCTTATTTTCTCCAGGGCTCTCTTTTTCTTCACAGTCATAGGCTCTTCTACATTGCTACTAGTATCTTGAGTTATATACTCCCAGGAACATCAAAAGAGCAGGGGTTCTGTCAGAGGAACACATTAAGTAGCAGAGCTATTATGGAATAGAATCTTGCAGCTGATATATCATGATGTATCAGATGTGCCCAAATATTAGTTTTTAGAATAGTAGCAGTACTTGGGGTGGTGAAGTTCAAGGCCTACACGCCTCCTGCCTTCTGTAAACAGCTTCCTTCATTTAACCATGCATTTTACAATTATTATCCGTTCCTTTGAATGCCAGTTTTTTTTAAGGTTGTTCTAAGTAATTAAATGGGAACATTGAAAATGTGAATAAAATCACGCAACACAGAGTCATTTGAGTTAGGAAGAAGAATAAYAGAGTCTAGTAGGCAGTGGGTGAGTGGGTGGATCAGATTTTTTTCTGATTCTCTCCAATTCTATTTTCTTGTTCTTTTTAGTTATACATGACTGTAGAATTCATTTTGACATAATTATAAAAGCATGGAATATGTCTTGTTCTAATTCAGATTCATATTAGACTTTATATGATTAATATGTCTATTTGTTTCAAATCTTATACAGCTTTTAGTTCTTAATCCTCTTATGCCCAGATAAGTTCCATGAGGAAAGAATAGTTGAAATGATCATAAAATAACTGAAAGAAAAATATGAGGAAAATGTTTAAAAGAAGGTTAAACACAGAAACAAACCATAAATAAAAATATTACATTTTGAGTTGTATTAAAATAATGATAACCAGTATATCAAAAAATTCTGAGAACAAAGTTAAAAGACAAGGAAATGGGAAAATATTAGCATATGATTTGCAGTGGTGTTCTAAAAACATGAAAACAGACATCCTAATAGAAAAATAATCAAGTGACATCAGGACTTGATTCACAAATGAAGAGCTACAAATGGTCAATAAGCATATAAAGCATTCCGCCACAGAAGTAAATGCAAATCAGTGAACAGTTGGTAAATTTTTTTTTGCATATGAAAATTATCAATTTGACTCAAATGCAGGGAAACAGAGCCCCGTACATACAGAGCCCCTTGTTGTGTCATATGATGAGCATCTCTGAATGCCAGTTTGCCAATACATGATAAAAATATTTCAGTATTCAGACCATTCTGATGATTCTATTTTTAGGAATTTATTGTGAAGAAATTATCAGAGATGTTCATCACAGCTATATTTATATTGTGATAAAAGTTAGAAGCAACCTAACTCTTATGAATATGGGAATACATAATGAATTATATGAAATCTTGGGAAATAATTAAAATAATGTGAAGAATATTTAAGATGTGAAAAGCAGTGTCTGTGTAGTGCATAAATTGCATATACATCATCTCAACTCTGTTTCATGTAGAACACTTTACATTGGGAGACGCATCATATTTCCTCTGGCACCTAAGGAAAAAAAAACAATAACAAAAATGACACTGAAGATGTAGGTGTAGATTCTTTTTTCTTTTCTTTCTTTTTTTTTATTTATATGTGACAGTGGAATGCATTACAATTCTTATTGTACATATAGAGTACAATTTTTCATATCTCTGGTTGTATACAAAGTATATTCACACCAATTCATGTCTTCATACATGTATTTTGGATAATAATGACCATCACATTCCACCATCATTATAAATCCCCATTATAAACCCCCATTCCTTACCCCCCCACCCATCTGTCCTATCTAGAGTTTGTCTATTCCTCCCATGCTCCCTTTCCCTACCCTACTATTAATCAGCCTCCTTATATCAGATAAAACATTTGGCATTAGGGTTTTGGGACTGGCTAACTTCACTTAGCATTATCTTCTCTAATTCCATCCATTTACCTGCAA